CCCGCCGACCCTATCTTAGCTCCCCTGCCATCCCAATCCCTCAACGCCGTCAACGCTGCTGCACAACTCTACCCGCCAGTCTCGCTACCTCGGAATCTGTCGTTGCCCCAAATGCCGTTGTGGTACGCCTGACAATTCTGGGACCGCACTTTGCCCTCTATGTGTTCGACAATTTGTTCGAGCATTTTTTGCTTCTTTCATAGGCAAAACAATGGATTCGAATGGTCCGTAGGATGAGGAGTATGAAAACAAGGAGCTTGGTGAATTAATTCAAGAAGAGTTCTTCGATTCGTCGGATTCAAATGAAGATACTGAGATGATGATGATCATGAGCATCCCATGGACAGGGAGGCGGAGCACATTCTAAACTTGAAGGGTTCTGAAAGTGCTAGTTATCGACTAGAGGGGGTGAATAGGCGATTTTTATGAAAGTCTTGAAAACACGATGGCTTTGAAGATAAACAAGTAAACTAAACCTATGTAGTAAGCAGCGGAATGAAGACTACACTAGGCAGACATTAGTCAAGCATACAATACAGTGAAAGCACAAAGACTAACTACAACTAGGTAGACAGGATCAAAATGGAAGATAGCACAAAGCTAAACATATATAAGTCTTCACACAATGAAGTCAAATGAATCAGGCAGGCAAGCAATGACTTCACGAAGACAAACTAAAAGGTAAGGAGAGTAGGGGATAGAACCAGTTGCTTGGTGAAGACAAGGATTTGGTAGACTAGTTCGAGTTGCTGTGACAACTGTACGTCTGGTTAGGGAGGCTGAGATTAAACTCAGAAGATGGTGTCTTCACCTTATTCCCCTTGAGCTAAGGACACCCAGTCCTCGCCCAATCACTCTGGTAAGTCTTCAAGGTAGACTTCCAAACCTTCACAGACTTTGTTCACCGGCAATCCACAATGACTCTTGGATGCTCAGAACGCGACGCCTAACTAGCTGGAGGATTCACAATCCTCAAGTGTAACAAGTCTTCGGATCACGCGGACAGAAAGACTTCAGTGATGCCTAACACTCTTTGGCTTTGGGTGTTATGGGCTTAGTCCTCGCAAGGATCTCTCTCTCAAATGCTTCGGAGGTGGGTTGTTCTCAAACGACAAAAGCCGTGCACTAACTCTGAGCAGCCACCAATTTATGGTATAGGGGGTGGGTTATTTATAGCCAGGAGGCAACCCGACCTGATATGTCCAAAATGACCTTGGGTCACTAAGGAAGTCCAACGGTCGGATTTCAAACACACGCGGCATCTTGGCTTGGGCTACAAGCAAAACTGACTCATCCAGCTCTGGATAAGGTTTGCTCTCATTGTCTTCGCTCGAAGACATAGGATTTGGTTGAGCATCACTTCAGTCACTCTGACTTTGTTCACTTGGACCCCACTTAACAGTACGGTGGCTCCTATGACTCAATAAAGAAGAAAGGAAACTACAAAATAGTTATGTCTTCGCACTCCATAGTCTTCAAGTGAATATCTTCACACATCATAATCTTCATCATGAATGTCTTCATGAACCACCATTGTCTTCAATGTCTTCACACATTTTTAGGGGTCATCTCTGGTAGGTAAACCGAATCAATGAGGGACTACTACCTGTGTTATCCTGCAATTCTCACAAACACATTAGTCCCTCAACCACGTTTGTCGTCAATACTCCAAAACCAACTAGGGGTGGCACTAGATGAACTTACAATCTCCCCCTTTTTGGTGATTGATGACAAACTGGTTGAAGTTTTCAATGGGGATAAAAGTATGTGAAAGTTCAGTTTCGTGAGCATTGTCTTCATACATTAAAAGAGGCTACCCCTGAAGATGTGCATATAAGTAGTTTGCTTTTGAATGCAAATGCAAATGGCAGGTTTTGATTTGTGGAGGCCTTCTTCATGGTGTGAAGACAATTCATCATGCATATATGAAAGTACTGAAGATAATGATATGCATAATTAAAGATGGACGTATGTAGAATGACTTCATGCGGAATTTTATCATCGCATCACAAAGTGGCAGCAAGAGTAGCAGACGACCATCAAGTTTAAGCGTTACAACTCAAAAACCAAATGGTTTCAAAACGAGAGTTGTAAGAACTTAGCAAAAATAAAGCAACCACCATTATGGACCCGCTTGAAGGTTATCAACTCATATGCTTCTCCCCCTTTTGTCAGTAATGAGCAAAAAGGTTTGAAGACATAGAGTATCTACTCGTTCCCAGCTGGAGTAGAAGATGGATCAGGGTCGACGTTGGAGTTTGGTGGTGCAGATGGGCCTGGCGCAACACCGTGATACAGTGAAGTTAATGCTGGTGAAGTGGCGTCGTCTTCTTCATCGACGACTCTCGCAACAACAGTTGCAGTCGAAGATGAGCACTAAGAATCTTCAGTTAAAGGTGTGTGATGCCAACTTGCATTCTGAGGAGGCCTGGAGTCAAACTTGAAGTTCTCAGTGAAGCCATCCTCGCGAAGATCATCTTTAGCGCAGAGCAAGGTGAGGCTCTTCAAGGACCGCCTACAGGCTTCATGTGCAACAAATGAGTTCTTGGTGGCTAAGTTGCGAATTCGATTGACATCCACCAAGATACTCAACATCTGACGCTTCAGCCAATCATGATGTCTGTCCTACTTTTGATGTAAAGCCACCAGAAGCTCACGGTCATTGAGAACACGAGGACGCTTCTGAGGCCTTTGAGCTATGGTGCTTGCAGTGGCTTCAGTATTGGCACGATGCGGTATGCGCAGGTTGCCAGCCAGAGGATATGTAGGAGTTGCAGCATTGGGCAGATGAATACCTTCAATGGGCTGCGTGAAGCTCTAGAATTCAGCATTCTGAAGGTGGAGTGGCTTCTTGGCAGGCTCGGGGTAGATGGCTTCAATAGACATCAACTTCAGGTAAAAAGACAATATGGTTGCGCGCTGAAGGCTGATAGTCAATGGTTGAATGAAGCTTAATCAAGCACATCACCCATGGAGCATAGAATTTTAGACCAAATAGATCAATCCCAGAAGCAGCAAGTTGTCTGATGAAGAACTCTCAGAAGCAGCAATGTGGGACAGAAGCCCACCAAAGTTGGAGAAGGGGCCAATTCTGTTCTCATTGGCTTCACGTGTTCCATCTGACCTTGGTGCAGATCGACCAGGGTTGAAGTCGAGGCCAAATTCCTTCTTGTTCTTGACAGCTGAATCCTTTGCGAACTGAAGGTTGCGCTTGAAGAGATTGTCGTCATGACACCATAAAAGAGATGATGGGTCGGCATTCTCAGGCTGAGGTCCTCGGACCATGCAAGGATAGAATTGCTTAGCTATAGCTTCAGCCTTTGTCTTAGGTACCAAATTTCTGTAAAGACAATCGCCCCATGGGCACTTGATGGCATTCTTCTCAGCATATTTAGGTGTCACGAAGTTGTACTTGAACCATTGCTTAGCCCAATATCTTCGGATCCATTGGATCCTGTTCTTGCATTGTTATAGCTCTCTTCAGGGTTAAATTTTTAGAGCTCATACAGATCTGAGGGAAGGTCCAGTGTTGTATTGCCTTGGTGTTGCCTGCCACCTTCCCGTGCAGATTTCTCAGAAGCCATAATATTCAGGCAGATAGGCTTCAAAACAGTGAAAGGCTTCCGTCTGCTTGTCAAACAAGAGCTGGCTTCAGGAGATTCAATGTGACGCTGTAAGAATTCTGCAAATGAATGCAGACTATGAGAACCAAGGGGTTCTCCCACGGACATGTACCTGTGACAGCATTAGCGATGCGAGGGAAGGGGCAGAGGTCATA